AAACCCTATGCCCATTAAGCAACTGTTCCTCATTCCCTCCTCCCCTCTGCCAACCCCCACAATCCCTGGCAACCACCAATCTGCATTCTCTGTGGATTTAATTATGTTATATATTTCTTTTTTTTTTTTTTTTTTTCCTGAGACAGAGTCTTGCTCTGTCACCTAGGCTGGAGTACAGTGGAGTGATCTCAGCTCATTGCAAACTCCGCCCCCCAGGTTCAAGCAATTCTCCTGCCTCAGCCTCCCAAGTAGCTGGGATTACAGGCATGCGCCACCACGCCCTGCTAATTTTTGTATTTTTAGTAGAGACAGGTTTTCACCATGTTGACCAGGCTAGTCTCGAACTCCTGACCTTATGATCTGCCCGTCTCGGCCTCTCAAAGTGCTGGGATTACAGGCGTAAGTCACCGCGCCCAGCCTATGTTAGATATTTAATATAAATTGAATCGCAATATGTAATCTTTTGTGTCTGGATTCTTTCATTTCGTTTTCAAGGTTCATCCACATTGTAGTATGTATCAGTACTTCCTTTCTATGGCTAAACAGTATTTCATTGTATGCATAGAACACAGTTTGCACAATCATCTGTTGATGGATATTTGTGCATTTACCTTTTGGCTGTGACTATGGGTGTACATGTATTTGTTTGAATGTCTGTTTTCAATTCCTTTGGGTATATACTTAGGAGTGTAGTTGCTGGGTCATATGGTAAGTCTATGCTTAACTTTATATATATATATATATAGAGAGAGAGAGAGAGAGAGAGAGAAAGAGAGAGAGAGAGGGTCTTGCTCTGTCACTCAGGCTAGAGTGCAGTGGCCAGATCATAGTTCACTGAAGCCTCACACTCTTGGACTCAAATGATCCTCCTACCTCAGCCTCCCGAGGAGCTAGAACTACAGGTGCACAATGCCGTGCCTGGCTAATTATTATTTTTTTTCTTTTTTTTTTTTTTGTTGAGATGGAATCTGGCTCTGTCACCCAGGCTGGAGTGCAGTGGTATGATCTCGGCTCACTGCAACCTCTGCCTCCCCGGTTCAAGGGATTCTCCTGCCTCAGCCTCCTAAGTAGCTGGGATTACAAGCACCTGCCACCACGCCTGGCTAGTTTTTGTATTTTTAGTAGAGATGGGGTTTCATCTTGTTGGCCAGTCTGGTCTCGAACTCCTGGCCTCAAGTGATCCGCCCACCTCAGCCTCCCAAAGTGCTGGGATTACAGGCATGAGCCACTGTGCCCAGCTAAATCTTTTACTTCTTTTGACAATGTTTTATAGTATTTACAGA